ATTCAAAAGATTGTTAAGGTCAATAGTAAACCTTCAAGCAATTGGATTTGTAGAGATGTTTTTTAGCACCCATCAAAGTTAAAGGTAAGGTTTATTTAACTCTTAGGTGTGGAAATATTGAGCAATGGATATATGCATTGAATAAAGTGATGACTCACTATATTTGAGATTTCTTGTGGCTACTTAGTGGTTTTAAAGTTATATAAAAATTCGTTATTTACCAAAACTTAATTCGTCCCTTGTTGGGTTGTCATTACATTTGCAACTATTATACTTTGTTCTCTCTTAAGTTTAAAAATTTGTTAGAAGTAAATGTTATTTTTTATTATTTACTAAAGTGCTTATAACTTAGTTTTTTTTTTTTTTTTAAGGTTACTCCACTAGCTTCTTTAAAATGTATTTTATAAGCACTAATATGCTAAAAGGCAATATTTTTTTTTAACAAAATTTTAAACTTAAATGGAGAAAAAAAAGGGTGTTTACAAATAATACAATAGAACTTTGTCAAAATGAGTTGTTAATATTTAAAAAAATTTTAAATTTTATAAATGACAATTGTAGAAGTATGTTTATTGGGTAGAGGAAAATAAAGGTAAGAGGAGAAAAGAATATTCATTTAAATGAATAATAAGAAAATGAGATTGTTCCGATTATAATATCATATACTATCATAAATTTACAATCATGATATATTCTTATATGATTAACTTTTTTTATTCAAGGGACCATACGATACATTATATATATATATATTCATTTAATGTCACATTATCAACATAAGTTTACAATTTTAAGTGACATTTTAATTATATCACTTTTGGTAAGAAAATTAAAAGGGAGGGGAACAATGGATATCCTCCTAAATTTAGGGATATAAATGAAAAAAATATAATTTTTTTTGTCTTCTTTATGTTTCACCAATATTTTATTTTAATACACAAATAAAAGTTTACAAAATAAAACTCTAGATATAAATAAAGGTAAAATTGTAATTCAAATAAAAATTAATCAAAATTTCAATGATATATAATTATTTTATTTCCTCTCATTTATTTTATAGCACATTTGGATAGAGTTGAATGAAATGGAGATTTTTAAAAGAAAAGAATGGATTTGTGTTAACTTCAATTGAATAGATAAAAATAAAGAAATAGATAAATTTATGCAAATGAAAGGATAATATTTTTTATTTAATTATATAATTTTTAAAAATATAAAATAAAAATTAATATAATTCTATAATTTTACTATTTAGATAAATAATTGAAAAATGTTGTAAAACAAAGGGATTGTTACACCTTTTAATTACCAATGGAAACAATCATTTATTTATGGCTATTACTTTCTTCCTCCCCAATGGATGGCTAATGAATAGTTAATAATTTTTCTTACATTGAAATTGCTTTTAACATTCATATTTTCAACAAAAATTTACAAATTATTGCACAATTTTTAGGTGAGATAAGATACAACCTATAAGCTTCTTTCTTTTTCTTGTTGTTGCTCTCCCATTTTTTTCTAATTCTTATTTCATTTATTTTCTATATTATTTCATAAAAAATTATTTCTATTTTTGAATAAAATTAAAATTAAACGATTTTTGTAACTTATGCATAAGAGTGTTTATAATACATCTTTTTATAATTAATTTGTATAAAAAAATATAAATATTAACTTTAATTTAATTAACTAGTTAATTAAAATTATCATGAACAATAACATTAAAATAAAGATTAATTTATGTATTTTTAAAAATTAATTAAAAAAATAAAATATTACAGGTATAACTTATATCTTAAAGATAAAAGCTAGACAAACAAAAAAGATAAATACATAAAAATCAATCATTCCCTCCAAAAATTCCCCAAATTGAGGAATCAAAACAAGGGAGTTTATGGGATTCCACGACCCTTCTAGCTCCCACTCTCTCTTTTATGATACCCAAATAAAGAAAATGACACATCTCTCTTCTCCTCTTCCATTCCCTCTCTTTTCACTCAAAATTCAAAAACAAAATTATTAATACTTTATTCATTTTAATCCATTAAAATGAGGGACTCCCTCCCCTCCTCAAATTTCTCTCATACCAAACACTTTGTACAGCTTTTCATAATCCCGCAAAAAGTAGAATTACATGTCAAAAATAGAGTCCTCTTGCTCCCGCTCCCAGTTTTTCTATATGCAAATTTTCCATTTTTTGGGATCAAAACCAAAGGGCAATCTAGGGGAAGCGAAATAGTGCCACGAATCTTGGCTGGGTTGGGAGGGGGATGGAAAAAGACCCGTTGCGTTGGGCGGCCGTCCACTCGATGTGCCATGTTCCTAAGCAAAATGTTGCACTTGCACTTTGCTCAACTCCCTATGAGCCTCTTTTCTCCCTCGTAGAAGGGAAAAGAAAGAGGGAAATGAACTTGAATTAGGAGGGTTTTCTTGCAAATGAGCTTGAAATAAAAGAGTTTTTTTAATACGTGCTTTTAGCAAAAGATTAAAGGTATAATTAATGTATTAGTATGTATAAAAAAATATACTAGTAATGTTAGAGTTGCAATGTGTTGCAAAATTAAAATCTTGATTATAATTATGATATATCATTAAATAACTGTGATTAATTATTAAATAAATAAATTCACATAATATTACAGATAAATTGTCAAGTAAAATAATTAATTATAAAACAACATATCATGTTATAAGTTTATAACGCAATGTAACATTGTAATTAAGTTATTTTCAATTTTAATAATGCATTCAATTAAATAAAGATTTACTTTTATTTTTTCAATTTGAATTAATGTAAAAAAAGTATACAACAATTATACCCTTACTCTAAGAGTACGTATTAAAAAAATTGGAATTAAAATAAAAGTTTGTTTAATTTGTGTATTTATGGTGCAGATTAAGAGTGTATTATATGTACTTTTTATTAATTTATATAAAAAAATACAAAAATTAACTTTATCTTCAATACTAATTATATGTGTATCATTTTAATTGAGTTATTAACAAAATTAAAGTTATTTTTTTTATTTTTTACAAAAATTAATAAAAAATATATAATTAATACAAATAGTACCCTTTACACTTCATTTAAAAAAAAAGGGTTCTATCATGTTCTCTTAAACATGCATTAGTTACACTTTTTTCTCATTAATTATTATGAAGAAAATAAACATCAGCTTCGCTTTCATTCAAAATTGTGAATGTGTACATAAGTTGAAAATCAAGTTGTTAATTTTTGTATTTTTATATGTGAATTAACGAAGAAAATTAATAATTAATGCAACTTTGAGGCACACCATATATAATATAATATATTTGTTATGTTAAATTATAAAATAAAAAATATTAAAAATGTTCAAAAATTTTACAATAAACAAAGTAAATATTATTAGCATCTGGCCCTTGAGGCCTAGTGGTAATATAATATATTTGTTATGTTAAATTATAAAATAAAAAATATTAAAAATGTTCAAAAAAAATAAAAAATATTAAATAAGAGATATTTTTTTTTGAATAAATTCGTAAATGGTCAAATTTGAACCCGTTGTCCTGAAAGTGAGAGAATGTACGTATACGTGACTTGATGTCATTGAGTTCAAAAATCCGAGTGCAATAAGAGATAATTTTTAATATTATAAAATTTATTATAAATAAAGATATACATTATGTAATTTAATGTAGTCTATATAATATAATATTTT